TGACAGTTGACAAATGCGATTTACCACGCGTGACACTTGGCCGCAGGAAAAATCGGGAGTTTTAGCTACTTAGTTCTTGTGTATCCGAGCGCGAATAGAAACGGGCAACGAAGAAGGCAAATGGAAAAAGGGGGCGCATTTTGACCCGCAGAAACTCCCGGCCTCCCACATCCATTTCAATACTTTGGCGGCCGAACGGTGGACGTTTCATTGAAATTTGAATATTTATGGACGCGGGTGTGGAACTTTTAAGTGGCTTGGAGGAGTTTGGGAGTTCGTTCATTACCGAAACCATTAATAACGCCCGGAAGTTGAGCCAGTTGCTTTGGATGGCCCGCAACTGCTTCACTCTTCCAGCTATTCTTTCCGGGCTCTTTCTGTCTCCCCTAGCAAAAAACTTCGTGTGTGTCAAGTGAAGTTGAGCAGTCACTTTCTGCAAGTTGCAAGTCGCCAACTTTCCAGTTGCCCAGCCAATCGGTGCAATTTTTAAATTCTCATTACAGGAGTTGAGGGCTGATTTTGGACTCTTCCTGTAATCGCAGGAAAATCAAATTTTTCGCACATGTAAAGTGAGGTTCGGTAGTGACTTTCTGAAAGTTTCAAGTCGCCAACTTCCGCGGTTGTGTAGTTGCGAATTTTCAAACTGGAGTTTCGACTGTTCTAAATTGGCCACCATGAGCGTAGAACAGCGCATTCAACTCCTTTTGATGTTGGATGCAGATGAAAGTTTGCAGAAGTGAATAGTTCAGCAAATTGCAGCTGGGACACTCATTTGGGTCAGAAGTTGTGAATGTTCAAAGCCAACTAGTGCAGCTGATTGAATGCGCACTATGGGAGTTGAGGCACAATTTCAAACTCTTCCTAGTGGCGCATGCCAATGAAACTTTGCAGGCGTGTCAAGTGAAGCCTGGCGGTCATTTTATGGAAGTTTCCAATCGCCAACTACGTTCGATTTGACGTTTTGGACTCGGGAAGTTAAGTCGCGCTCATCATCAATTGTTCACCGTGTCAGTTTAGGGGCGGTTTTGGCTCTTTCCGATGTAGCATGCGAATGAAACTTTTCTGAAGTCAGTGGCGGAGTTTAGTGGGTAAATTGACTGAATATTTATCGGCCCACTGTCTTCGGTTTGACTCACGCTGCAGCTGGGAGTCTTCAAAATGATTGAGTGCAGTTCTTCAATAGTCCGTCCGGGAGTTGAGCAGCGATTTCTGCTTCTTGCTGATGTCGCATGCGAATGAAACTTTGGMAATATGTGAAGTGAAGCCCGGCGGTCATTTTCTGGAAGTTTCCACAACATTAAGTCTGATTTTTGGATAATTGCAGTCGTCAACTCTTCTTCCGACTCTCTTGCGCTGCCAAAAGGCGGTAATCAGGGCCGGGCAATTAAGCCCCCAGATTAATAAACGGAGGGAGATTTTAATTATTTAACTGTTTTAAATGTTATTAAATCCACTTGGCCGGTGCCGGATGCAGCTTCGGAAGATTACGGATTAAATTACGGGCCGATTTAGCCGCCAGTCGACGTGGTGTCGGGAGAGTTGGGAGAGAGCGGCGGGAGCGAGAGGTCGAAAAATGACGCATTTGGACACATTGTTCCAATGGATCGGGGCTCTTGAGGGCTTGCCCGACAGCTTACAAAGGCCAATTAAACTTCGAAAGCCACTCAAAGAAACTTTATCGGAGAGAAAGAATGGAGGGGCTCGGGCCGTATTCTTCGCGCTTCCTCTTTGACCCGAATTGCTTTCGACGGCAAAGAATCGCCCCCAATTAATTGGACCAGTTTAATTGTGTGGGCGCTTGTGGACCGGGCCAAACCAAGCGGAATCCGGGCTCGGAACGGCGGAAAAGCGCATCTGGGCGACGGATCCAGACTTTTTTCCAGATGGCCCTGCAGCCAGAGGAGATTAGCCAGAGCGGTTTGCGTAAGTTATCGCGAGTGGCTTAACGTCTCGGCAACCGGAAATCCGGCCCCCCATAATTTCCCCCAAGACGGATTAGCATCATATCGGTAGGCACTCGACTCGGCTAATCTCCAGCTTAACGGCAACTGAACATGGCAATGAATATGCATTTTGGGGCGCTGATCCAGACAATGAAACACTCACCATTTTGTTGTTGATCTCGTGGAAGTGGATCTCGCACACTTTGTCGACGACGTCCTCGCTCTGGAACGTCACGAAGCCGAAACCTGGAACAGAAACGGGGGGTCAGTGAGTTCAACTTCCGCCCGCATGGGGGCGGGGGGTGGCGCTGCGCCCCCCTTCTCCCAGGAAACTTCCGTATTATTCTATTAAGTCGCCGGAGAGAATCTTTCGAAACAGTTTAGCGAACTAAGGCAATATAAAAGTTGGCCCGATTGAGTCCTGCGGACGTTCTGGGCGAAGGGGGCCCGCGGCGGCGGCAGGCCCGATTTATACGTCAAGTGAGGCTGGTGGACGTTGCCTTGCCACATCAGTCCTCATTGGGGCCCCCTAATAGGGTGTTTTCATTGAGGTATTCGCGAAAACAGCAAAATAAACACGAGACACTTTGTTGATATGACTTGCTACGTCACAGTCGCGATAGGCAACCGACTGATTCGGCGTTTTTGGTGAAAATATCTGATTGATGAAATTATTATGGCGACTTTTTTTTGCAAAAAAAATTATATCAGTATAATGTTTGCCATAACTACTTTCTATATATCAAGAAGAAAGAAGAGAAGTTGTGAGTTTCTAAAGTTAAGTCGCACTTTTCGTTAACTGGTTACTTTGTGCGGTTAAGGGCGATTTCTGGCACTTTTCAATACTGGAGGCGAATGAAACTCGTCGGAAGTTAATAATGGAGTTCGGTGCGAAACTCGACCAAAAATCAACTGGCTCACTTCCTCCCTTTTGGAGTTGTGAATTTTCCAATTGGACCAGTGCAATCCTTGTCATTTACCCTATGGGAGTTGAGGAGCGATTTCGCATACTCCCTTTTGTGGCATGGCGATCACACTTTTGGGGAGTTAAAAATAAAGTTGCGTGCTCATTTCTCCGAAGTTTCACTAGGGCGACTGCGATCGTTTCTGAGTTACGCATTTTTTAAATCGAATGGCGTCGCCTCAGGGGAGTTCAAAGTAAAGTCCAGCTGTGGAGTTGGGCTAGTTCACACACTAGTGGGGCTACTGGTGGGAGTTGGGGCCACTTGGCCCACTCGGCGCGAGTTGAAAATGAAGTTGAAGGGCAATTTCCCCGGGAGTTCCATGTGAAGTTACGGGCATTGTTGTGGCACCGCAATCTGAGGCGCATTAATCAGTTGGCGAATTATTAAAGCGTCCGATTCCCCATTGGGCCATTTCCGTAAAAAGCCCGGCCAAGTTTGATGAAATTGTTGACTAATCCCGAACATTAACCCTTAAAGGGCTAATAATCTGGGCGAATGGGGGAATTAAAATTGCAAATTGTCATTTCGAAGGGCTCGCACCGTCGGCCAGTGGCGTGCGTCCGCCACTGTTTCAACCACACACTTGGGGAGTTGCCGGTGGCCCTGCGGAACCTCCACTGGAAATGTCTGAAGGAGGTCAGTGCAAAACTCGGTTACAAATTCGTGGATATAAAGTGAAGTTCAGTCGTAACTTCCTGAAAGTTTCAAGTCGCCCGATACGTTGCTTTAGAAGTTATGAGTTTCCAAAGTTAAGTCGCACTTTTCGTTAACTGGTAACTTT